TTGGCCACCCTCTGCTCAGTGGCCCTTCCTTGTCTCCTCCACGTCTCTCTGGGGCTCCGGGCCCCAGATTCCCTCACCGTTTTTGCCAGAGAGGTTTGCCTACTTTGCCCCCAGGGAGTGAGACTTAAGCCCTCTCCCCAGGTTCAAAAGTCCCAGGGAAGGTCTCTGATTGGCCCCTGGCCAATCTGCTGGCCAATCACAGGTTGTGGGGAGGGTGGGGTCTATTAGAAAATGACACTATCTAGGAGGGTTTCCCCAAAGGAGAGCAGAGGCGCTAGACAGAGCACTGCAGCCAACCATCCTTGTGGACAGCAAAAGATTATGTAAACAATGCATTTCTCCGTTGACTGTGAAGTGCCTCGTGATGGTGAAGTGCTTTGTGAATGGCTAACGGGTGTAGAGAGTGCTTTGGGACTGTGTGAGGGCCACAGCCCTTCACCATAAGGGACAGCGGAAGGGTGTGCCCATCCCGCCCCTCAAAGTGTGGGACCAAGGACCATCTCTCCACAGAGCTTAACACCAAGATGATGGACTTTGACACCTTCCTGCCCATGCTCCAGCACATTGCCAAGAACAAGGACACAGGCACCTATGAGGACTTTGTGGAGGGGCTGCGGGTCTTCGACAAAGAGGGCAATGGCACTGTCATGGGTGCCGAGCTCCGCCACGTGCTGGCCACTCTAGGTGAGGGCCGCGTCCTCCTCACCCCCACTCCTCCCTCGCGGGGCATCCTGGGAGAAACCACTCGTCACCAGGCAAGCCTGTGTCTCATGTCTGAAATGGAGAGAGTGACAGTCAAGAAGCCTCTATGGCAGGCGACAGCAATGTGGGGAATTTAGAGACTTAGGTAGGGAGGAAGAGAATGTGTTGGTGCAGCTCACAGAACCCCAGGGGACTGAGGACAGCTCTGGGGACAGGGTAGGGCAGTATGGCATATCTAGCAGGATCAACTCAGTCCTGGTGTTCGTTGTCTTGAGGTCACATTCCAGGGACACGGCAACTAAGTGGCCCAGTAGGTTAGGCGCCTGCCTCTTGGACATCCAGACCCCCATCATCTGGCTGGCAGGGGCACCCCCTTCTCAAAGAAGCTTTTTTGTACAGCAAATGTTTATTGAGCACCTGCTATGTCTGCTCAAAGCAGCTTTTCCCCGTGCCAAACGTTGACTGAACTCCTACTGCATGCTTAGCCCTGTGCTGGTCTCTGGGTTGTGTGTGTGGCTGGGGGTAGGAGGTCGCCCCCCACCGCAGTGAGGGAACCCACACAGCACACAAAACCCAGAGGCAGGAGCGTGGCAGACTTGTCTGGAGAACAGAGATGTTGTCTCTTGGTCTCCTCCACCATCACCCCTCAAGGCCCTCAGCTTCACCCCACGGGCCCTTCCTCGAGCCTCAAGAGGCCGCCCTGGGGAACTGCTTCTGGGGACATGGTGGGGCTGGCCTCCTCGTGATGGGAGGACCCCCAGCAGCCCGTCGAAAAAAGAGGACAGTGCGTGCTGGTGACTTGAACGCCAAGCTGGCTTTTTAAGGACAGAGCCCAGGCTTGGAGGGGGCACCAGGCCTGCACCCCAGGTTCCACCGTTTTTGACTTGTCACTGATTCCCCTGGAATCAGAAATGGGGGTGATGGCCGAGGCCTTGTGAGCCGGGATGGCCGTGCCAAAGTGAGGTGTGGGAGCACTAGGGAGGCAGACCCACCACCCAGAGGGGCTCAGGGGGTCCCCGCACCCTTCGCACCTTCCGGGGGTGCTGACTCAGCCTCCCGCCCCGCCAGGTGAGAGGCTGACGGAAGATGAGGTGGAGAAATTGATGGCGGGGCAGGAAGACTCCAATGGCTGCATCAACTACGAAGGTGCTGCTCAGCAGGCCAGGAGCCGGTGGAGGGTCGGGGGTGGGGACTGGGACCCTAGGCTCCCGCCCTTGGCTACCCGGTGCTTGAGCCCTGCCACTCACTCTCCCCTTCCTTCCAGCATTCGTGAAGCACATCATGGCCAGCTGAGCCTCCCATCGCAGGTGAGACCCCCCACTTCTTTCCAAACCAGCTGCGGCCTCTGCTGAGAGCAGAGATGGCCTCACGCGCTGTCATCCGAATCCCTTATCGCTACCTCCCCATCCCCACCAACCCCAGTTCTCAGTTGGCATCCTGCTGCCTCGCTCCGCCCTGTCCTCTGTAACCAGTGACCGCCTTTGCTCTCAGGGAGCCCAGGGAGGCCATGCTGGGGACCGCTCATCCCCCACTCTCAGCGCTGACACCAGTGGCCTGGAGTTGTGGGGAGCAAGGGAGGGCATCGAGGCTCCTACACCAGCTCCCTCCGCACCGCCCTGCAGATCTCCGTGTGCCTGTCATCTCCCTCTATGAGCTGTGCCTCTCTGTCTTCACCCCAGGGGCCTCATGAATAAACGGCTTCTGTCCTTCCTTTCTTCCTCATTCATTCCTTTCTTCCTTCCCTCTCTCCCTCCTTCCTTCTTTCCCCTCTGTGGCCCTTTGGTTGACTTCTGTAATATGTATGAGCCCCACATGGTTAGCCCTGGACAAAATGAGGGCAGTCATGCTGAGATCCTGCCTCCTTTCTCCCCTTCAAACTATCCTGTCCGGTGTGCCCAAATCCTCTGCGCCTGCGTCCAGGGACACCGGTAGGAGTAGGGCTGAGCTGGAAGAGGCCCGGGTGCCCCCCCACCCCTTGCTCTTGTCCTCTCCTCCTCCCCCTCTCCCCTCTGGGGGTGGGAGCTGTGCTGTAGCCCCCAACACGGGGATGCCACTGGGGTGTCTGAACTGTCTCCTCCCACCACCAGTAATCGGGGACTCACGGGGCACGGGCCCAGGGCCGCCCATGTCGCAGGTGGGGAAACTGAGGCCCAGAGCAGTCACACTGAGTCACATTGGGAATGAATGGCAGGGCAGGAGCTAACTTTGTTTCCAGGCTATCAGAATGGAAGGGGCCTTAGACCCCTGCCTGACTCAGATGGGGAAACTGAGGCACTCTGCCTGTGTTGTGGCTGTAGGCCAGAGGAAGAGGCCTTACTGGGGCAGTATCGGGGGTCCCTGGTGGGTTCCCCAGCCCTGGGCTTCTCAGCAGCAGATAAGTGTACAGTCCCTGAAATGACAGGGGGAGGTACATACACGGCCTGCAAACCCAGTCCCGTTGCCCACACCCTGCTTGGGGCCAGGGCTCCTCCCCTCCCCTTGGAGTTCAGTGGGGAGTGTGAGGGGAGACTTCCTGGAGGAGGTGATCCACATGGTTTTGATCGGGAGGAAAAGCAACGCCCTGCAGAGAGGCTGGGGGCCTAGAGACTGGGGGTGTGGGGGAGATCAGGGGCTCAGAGTGAGGAGTGGGCCACACAGGGTAGGAAACAGCCCGCAGGCCAGGAGGACCCAGGAGGTCAGGGCAGCGCCATCAGGGTGCATTTGCATGGCCTCCTGTGCATGTGAGTGCGTCAGCATGTGAGGTGAGCCTGTGGCTGTGTGAGTCGCTGCGTGAGGGTGTGGTGTGGTGGGGGTCCTGTCTGCAAGTGCGCTGGGGTTGTCAGTGTAAGCGCGTGTGGGGAGTGTGCCCGCAGCGCGTGTGAGACAGTATGTATGAGGGGGTGGGTGTGCAGGAGCCTCACTCATCTTCCTTCCATTTTCTCAGAGTTCATTGAGCACCGACTGTTTGCCAGGCTCTCGCCTAGGCCCCGGGAACACCGTTGTGGAGAAAGTGTCAAAACCTCTGCCCCGTGGAGCTCACAAAGTCACCAACCATAAAGTGTGTCAACACGTGATAAAGGCTGAGGAGGGACCCAAAGTGGGGAAGAGGCTTTGCGGTGTGCGTGTGTGTGTGTGTGTGTGTGCGCACGTGCGTGCACATGTGTAAGAGCTAGGAGGCGGTTGACGTGTTAAATAATGAGGCCGCTGATGATCGGAGAAGGTAATAGTTGGACAACGACTTAAAAAAAAAGAGGAGATAATACCCAGAATATATAAAGGATCTCGACAACTCAACAGCAAAATAATTAATAACCTGCCTCAACAACGGGCAAGACTTGGGGCGCCTGGGTGGCTCAGTCGGTTGAGCGTCTGACTCTTGATTTCGGCTCAGGTCGTGATCCCAGGGTCTTGGGATGGGGCCCCAAAGGTTCTCTCTCTCCCTCTGCCCTTCTTTCCCCCACGGGCACTCTTTCTCTCTAAAATTAAAAAACAAAACAAAACAGGGCAAGACTTGAATAGACATTCCTCCAAAGAAGGTCTACAAATGGCCAATTAGCATGTGAACGGACGTTCAACATCCCTAATTGGGGAAATGCAAATCCAGACCACTATGGGATACCACTTCACGCCCATTAGGATGACTATTACCCACGGAACAACAAGCGTTGGCGAGAATGTGGAGAGACTGGGACCCGTGGGTGCTGTCGGTGGGAATGTAAAGTGGTGCAGCGGCTGTGGAAAACGCCACGGAGGGTCATCGCAAAATTAAAAACACGTTGCCATATGATTCCAGCAATTCCATTTCTAAGTACATGCCCGAAAGAATTGAAACAGCCAAGCGCCCACGGACGGATGAATGGTGTATACACACAATGGACCGTTATTCGGCCCCGAAAAAGGAAGGACATTCTGGCACTTGTTGCAACATGGATGAAATTTGAGGATGTTCTGCTGAGTGAAATAGGCCAGGCGTGGACAAATGCTGTGTGATTCCACTTGAATGAGGTACCTTGAGTCCTCAAATTCATAGAGACAGAAAGCAGAACGCGGTTCCAGGGGGAGAGGAGAATGGGGGTTGTTAAAGAAGAGGAAAAAAAAAAACAAGAAAGGAGAGATGGAATGTCTCAGCTGAGACAGGGGCCTGAATGCAAGTGGTCTCCCTGGGAGGTGACCCCAGGGAGCATGGGAGAGCAGCTGGAAGGAAAGGAAGTCTCTGTGGGGCGCATGGGAGCAGAGAGCGCTGCGGACAGTGGGGGCTCAGCCCCACTGGGGGCCTCCAGAAGATGGCTGGCTGTCCTACTGAGGGGATAAGGGAATCAGGCTATCCAGCTACTCCTGTCCTCACTGGTTGAGGCAGGGCCTCCTAGGCAGGCTGGAACATTCGCGTGGGGCACGTCGGCATTTGCCCCGGGCAGCATCGAGGGAAGACATTCCCGCAGCAGGGCACAAGGACGCTGAGCGGGAGCAGGCAGTGCCATGGGGGAGGTGGTGGGACCCGAGTCAGAGAGGTGACAGAGGGCCTGTGGCCACGGGATGGGCTTTGGTGGGTGCTGCGGGGAGATGTTTTATCAGCATCACTCTGGCTGCCACGTGGAGAATAGCCTGGGGGACACTAGCAGAAACAGAGTGATAAGGTAGGAGGGTCCAGGAGAGGAAAACAGATGAGAGGCAGCAGCTTGGCCCGGTGGAGATGAGAGGCAGTCAGACTGCAGATCACTTTGAAACCAGTCTCAACAACATCTTGGGCAGGTTTCGAGGCTTTCCGGTTCCTTTCCTTGTCTCAACGCAATCCACCCCAGCCCCAGATCCTGTCTGGGGCGGCAGGAGAGGGACTGCTCGTTTATGGCGGGGAGTCTGGCTGGCTGGTGGGGCAGCGTGCGGTGGCCTCTGTTAGTGGGGGTGTCTCCCGAGTACGTGTGACCTTGCTGGACTCTGGCTAGCCTCCCAGGACAAATGGTGGCCGAGGACCCTCACAGAAAAGCAGGGCCTCCCGCTGGTTACAATCAGGGCAGGGAGCCACGTGACTGACCGATACCCTTCTGGGCAGCCCCCACTTCCTGCCTGCCCCAGCCACCTCATTCCCGGACGCCAAGCCGGGGAACTGCTGAGCTCTCTTTCAGAAATCTCCAGGGGCCTCATGGGACCGGGACATCCCAGCTTTTTCTTTCTGGGGATGCTCACCCTGGGCCGGAGTCCTGCAGGCAGGGATCACACCTGTCATCTCCAGGCAAGAAGCGACCCTGCCTCCAAGTTCACGTCTCCCCTGGATCCCAGGGGATACATTGCTCTCTCAAGAATGCCTGCCCCTTCCAGAATGGTCCTGCGGGGCTCCCAGCCTGCCTTAGTTCCTGGGAGCTACCACCCCCCTCGGCTTGGTCTGGCAGTGGAAGGGAGCGTCCCACGCGTTCCCCTAAGACACTCTGCAGCCCGAACCCACCGGTCTTCCTGTGTGGATGAGGGGGCAGGCTGGAGGTGGCTGGCGGGGTACAGCAGGGGCTGTTGTGTCTGATAAGCTATGGCTGGGGCGGTTTGGTCCCACTCGTTGGGACTCCCCTCGGAATATGTCTCTATCCCAGTCATGGTCATGTTGCCCCTCTGGGCCTTTTTTTGCCTCTTGTATATGGCTGTGCTGACCACGTGTGGGCTCCGGCCGCCAGCTATAGGTACAAGTGTCGCAGTGGATGGGTGGAGGGTTCTAGGGGAGCCACTCAGCTGCAGGGGTGAGAGTTTTCCTCACTCAGCATCCCATCCCCTCTCCCCCCTGCCTCGGCTGGGTGGAATGTGTATCTCTGTGTGTCCCCGTGTGTTTGCGCATGAGTGTGCCCACAAGTGGGCCTGTGTGTTTGTGTCTGTGCCTGTGAGTGCATGAGTTGCCCGTGTGCATACCTGTACATGTGTGTGCTGCTCGCCTGTGCATATGGGCACGTGTGTGTTCCCCCGCGTGTGCATGTCTGTGTGTGTCTGCATGCATGTTAAAGTGCGTATGTGCTAGGGGGCTCTGCCGAGTCAGTGCTGGGCCGGGGGGACAGCACTGCCAGCCGGGTTGTGGCCTTCCCACAGTTGCACAAACACTGTCCCAGCTGTCCCCTCAAGCAGGGTGGTCTAGCCTGTGGCCCTGTGGCCGGTGGCAAGGGATGGGAGGGGGCAAAGGGTTTGCCCCCTTATTGGCCTGGTCCCCTCCATGTCTCAAGTGCCTGATCTGGGGTCTCTCTATGGCTCACTTACCCCATCTGGTCTGAGGCCTGATCTCTGAGGTTGTTCTTTAAAAAAATTTTTTTTAATGTTTATTTATTATTTTGAAAGAGAGAGAGGGAGAGACAGCGTGTGAGCAGGGGAGGAGCAGAGAGAGGGGGAGACACAGAATCCGAAGGAACTCTGAGCTGTCAGCACAGAGCCCAATGCAGGGCTTGAACCCACAGACAGTGAGATCATGGCCTGAGCTGAAGTCAGATGCTTAACTGAGTCACCCAGGTGCCCCCTCTGAGGTCTTTCTAAGGTGGCAGGAATATTCCCCTCTGGTTTCGGTCCTGGTCCAGGCCGATCCAGAGAGTCAGTGGGGCAGCCAGGGAAAAGTGGGGGCCAGGGGCAGAGTTCAGCCTCAGGACCCTAGAACCAACTGTCCCTCCTCTGCTCTGACGTCCCTGCATGGCTGCTTCCGGCTCTTGGTAGCCTGCTACGCCCTGCGTCCTCTCTCCAAACACCATCCTCAGGGATCGTGAGGTCACCACGGGG